TTCGAATTGATCTTCGAGGAAATGATTTGAATAATAATCTATATATAACAGAAAATGATCAACGATCACACAGTTCAGTACCAAGTCGAATATCAAGATATTTGGGTAAAATAAAATAAAAATAAAATAAAATTTGTTTCTTTGTTTTTTAAGAATATCCTCAAGTTCGACCAACAAATCCATTATATTTAAGTCAATCAACATTTAAAACGCAAGGTTCGAATCCACTACCGTCAGTATCAAAAAGTTCGGCGACACTAGTTAATCGTCGTCAAAAGTTTGATCCTCAAGCACCACGTCGTCCATCTGATTGGCGATGGTTAGCTATCTTATGTATTATTCTTTTCTTTCCACTTGGTATGTTAATCCAAGTAATACTTTCTTCATTTAAATAAATATTTTATAGGTTTATTTGCTTTCGCATTTGCTCGTAAATCACAAATTAAATTTCGTAATGGATTTATAATAGATTCGCATAAACTTAATAATTATGCTTTAATTTTTTGTATTCTATCAATATTATGTGGCATTGCATTAATTATTGGTCTTCTATTTGGTTTTGATGCTTGGCCACGAACAAATGGATGAAATGAAACTTAGGTCCTTTTTTTTGTGAACAGTATTTGATTAGGAAATAAATGAATCCGTTTTTCTTGTATTTACTATTTAGAATTGATTATTTTAGACTATTAGTTGTGTTCAACATCATGTCATCTTCCTTCAAAAAAAAAAAAAATTTATAATTTATTTGTTCTTGTCGTTCAGCTACAGTTGCTTTGTCAACAATTGTTGGTGTATTTGCTTATGAACGTGCATTGAATACAATAGCTGATTATAGTTAAACATAAACGACGTAATCGAGACNAGTTGCGTTCAACATCATGTCATCTTCCTTCAAAAAAAAAAAAATTTATAATTTATTTGTTCTTGTCGTTCAGCTACAGTTGCTTTGTCAACAATTGTTGGTGTATTTGCTTATGAACGTGCATTGAATACAATAGCTGATTATAGTTAAACATAAACGACGTAATCGAGACAAATTATGGGAATATGTACAATCATCATATAAACTAAAATTTGATGAAGATAATACACAATAGTCTAGCATACGATTGAAACAACTCAGAACGACAATTGAATCGTGACCAAAACAAAAATAGATAAAAAAAAATTTTGTCACAAGATTCTGTTGAATAGGTGAATTAGACTTTATTTTGTTGTTCTTTTATTCAAAATGTTGACTTTGAGAAAGAAAGACTCTTGTTTAATTTCAATTAGGTTTTTTTAACTTTCTGAAAAGAACAACATATGTTTGCTGTTATCTTTGATTTGGATTTGATGTGGACAAAAAAAAACGAAGTGTCTTATTCGCACTTTTTCTCTTGTAGTATTTTTATACTGACCATCGACTCTGCCTTATATATATTTTTTTTTGTTTAGAATATCTACATACAGTTATGAGAAAAAAAAACACAGTATCGGTATTATTATTTGTTCTTTTGATCATGATGTGCTTCCAACGAGTAGTGTATAGAAAGAATGAAACACTTTCGTTCCATCTTTTGGACAGCTTCACAATGTTTCTAGAAAAGACAGTTTAAAACAACAACAAAAAAAAAGCAAAGGACACAATAGGGGTATAGTGAGACACTTTGGTTTTGTTTATTTTTCAAGATTCAATCATATATAGAACGAAATATTATGAACTTCTAATCACTTTCATGATGGATTCAAAGTATTTTCATTCGATTATAAGTGTCAACAAAGTTGACCTTGAGCACATAGTAAATGTACAATTAGTCATGAATATAAGTTAACAATATAAATATTCCTTTTTGAAAAAAAACAGTAAATAGAGGTGAAGTATCATTCAAGGTTATTATAATAAGCTTGTTTCTTCACACTACATTTTCATAATAGAGTTTCATGTAGACAAGTAAACTAAAAGGATGAACTGATTAAAATAGATCATGATTTGATTCGTTTTAATGTAGAAAGTAATTTTGGTTTTACTCATTCATTTATAAGAAATAGAATCAATGAACAAGCGCTTGTTGAAACTCGACTATAATTTTTTTTCTAACAAACAACAAATTTTAACGATTAGATAGATGCATGCTATTACATGTCATTTAACAAAAGAGATGGGATATAAGAAGCTAAAAAAACTTTAATAAAATACAATTACAATTTTTATTATGATCTTCTCATAAGTTTATTAGTTGAAATACTATTCTTCTCATTGTTTCGTATAAATTAATATGAAATTGTTTTGTTATTTCGTTTTCTTTGTTTCTGTCGATTTGGATTTGTGAATAATTTTCGTTATTGAAATCATATAGCAGCATTAGCAAGGAATGATGACTACAATGCACATAACTCCATGTTGCAAACATTAATAAGATGAAGTGTTCATTCATAAATGCGAGACTCCATGAAATATTTTTCCATGAAAAAATATCAGAGGTAGATGAGCTTAGAACAGTTGTACGATGTCATAGTTTTCTACCAAATATATTCGTTGTCATGTAGATGTCAAGAACTAAGTTGCAGCTGTTGATAGAAATTGTTCTAGGATCGTTTAATTTGTCCTCGAAAAAGAAATAAGAATTTCTTAACGAAGCTTGAAATATCACTTCTTAAATGTAAAATGAATGGGAATTGAAATACTAGAACGTTTACCTTTCTCTCTTTGCTAAAAAATTCTTGTATTCTTTTGAAGATAAATTAAAAGATCCTAGAATAATTTTCTATCAACAGCTGCTAACCACTTATTGACATCTATATGACAACGAATCTATTCTTTAGGAAAAATATGGCTTACCACAATTTCTCTACGACTCAACAGTTTATCGAGTCTCTTATTTCTTACTAAACACTGCATCTTATCACTGCTTATAAAGTAGCTGAGTGTGCATTATAGTCATCATTCCTTGCTAATTTTAATTACAACATTAATTGAATTAAAAATATATTCGAAATATTCAGTTTTGATGCATTGTTACTGTCAATGGGATTAACTAACAGTATGTGAAATGCACTAAAATGTTCTTTATATAAACGAGCTATACATGCTAGGAAATTTATGAAATTAGGAGTTTTAATACGTTTATATGAAAAGCGTTAGCAAAGTTTTTTTTTTTTCAGATTGTTATAACGAAAGTGTAAATGTGAGAAAAGAAACTCACTATTCTCTGTGAAGAAACAGTTCAAAGAAAGAATAAATGCGAAAACCTCGGATTTAAATCCGAGTGTTATGTGTACTGCGAAAAGTGAAGAGATATATTCACTGTGTTCTATCAACTGAGCCATATTTAGCCTATTTGCTTTTTGCATGCAGTTTTTCTGCATTTTGAGACATTTTTCATGGGATGTTTTGTTAGAAAGCTACGATTTGGTTCAAAACTAATCTCAGATTCGGAATCAGCGTTAAAAACTGAGTCGATTTATATATGTTGTGAATAATTCTGAGAAAAAAGTTTTTTTTTGAAAAAATCCCTGTACCCCCCCTCAGGGATGGTCTTCTCAATAATGACAATTTTTTCGATAACTCAGCCATTTCTTGACGGATCCTTCTCATCTTCGAACTCGACCGAGACATTGTTAAGACTGAACTGTGTAGAAAATTTCATCGCGACTGAACTCTCCTTTCAAAAGTTATCGTGTTAACGGCCGGCCGGCCGGACGGACACACTGACCGATTCTAGAGTGTACTCAGTTTTTGAGTACACAAAAATACAAATTATTGCAATGCGTTAATTTCACATTTCTGATTTCATCGGATTATTCATTGAAGTTTTTATTATTTACATTTTGACTTTCTATTACATAGGCGTATTACATCAGCCGTTTGATTATTAGATTAATGAAACATTCATCATCATGGGTCATGTCCTGCTCAAGAGCACTTTTTCAGCTTTCATCACACTATTCTTGAGACATGATATGTAGCTTATTTTGATTGATAATAGACAGAAGAATGGATAGTTGTGTTGAAATAAATAACATAATTCGAATCAGCACACAAATGTGGGTCGATTTCATGAAGATGTCATAAAAGGATTTAATTAAAAAAAAACCACTTGAATAGTAGGAAACAAGTACGAAAAACATAGAATAGTAGCTTCTCTTAAATTTCAGTTTTTCGATATATTCCTCAGGTGGACTAGCGGGTGATTATTTGATCGAAAACAAAAAAATTGAAATGGACAGAAATCGATTCAAACTTTTATGCTGATTCCAAATATGTTATTTATTTCCATACTCTGTTCTTCTATCTGAAAACTGTCCATTATCAATCAAAAGAAAGTTACATATCACGTCTCAAAAATAGTATTCTGTTTAGCTGGACATGACGCATTTCAATAGATGTTTTTTTTTTTTTTTTGATATAATAATCAAGCGGCTGATGTAATACACATACGTACCCAAAATACTAATAATAGAAGCTTTGTATTTAGTTGGAAAAAACCAAAATATTATTTTAAGTAAAACGATGTATTTCGAAAAAATAAGTTTATCAAAATAAATTTTGAATCATACTTCATCACAATTTATTTTTTTTTCTTAAAGGACTATTCCCGTTGGTAGTTCGTATTCATGACTAACTGTGCATTCAGCTAACAAAAATATCTTAAATCGACCATCAAAATAATTAGAATCTCATAATATTTCATATTATTATATAATCAAATTCAATTAAGTCTTGAAAAACAAAGTGTAAAATTTATGTGCTCAAATCCTTCCACTAAATATCTTCTTTTTTTTTTTATTCAGTAAAAAGGAACGATCAAATAGAGAAAAAAAAAAACAATTTTTATAAAAGTTCAAAGATATACATTTCTTCTTCTAGTGTTATAACTTACAAATCTCAAGAACTCAATGAAAGGATAAGAGAATGAACAAATAACAGCCAAAAAAGAATGAAAGACACAAATACATGCTACATATATAAAAAGAAAGAAAGCAACTGTTTTTGTTTTGTTTACACCTTATATGCTCTAATAAAATCTCATTTCATTAAAATTACAATCATGTGGTAATGAAATTGTTGTTTGTGGTGTATAAGCAGTTTCAGTTTCTAATGTATAATTTTTTCCTTCATTATTATCCCAATGTTCTTGTCCATTGACACGATAACGAATAACAAAATCAATTCTATCAACGTCATGTGGAAAATCAATACGAAATTCAAATTGATCTGTATTACGAAAATCATTTGAATGACAACAATGTTGAGCTTCATATTCACATACATTTAACCAATGATTAAATGTGTATTTAATAGTTACATTTTTATAATAACCACTATTTGTTACCCATAGTGTACCATAAAGAAATTGTTCACCGGTTATTGATGATTTTAAACGCATACCTGCATGTTCTAATTTAACTTGTGATTTCCATATTTCATGTAAATAAATATCAGGATGTTCAGAATTTGGTTGACGATATAAACAAAAAAATCTTTTTGGTATTCGAATATCAGGAACTTGTTTTGAGGTTAATGCAACATCAAATGACCAGGGTTTATGTTCTAAATTTAATGACTTTGGTATATAAAGATTATTTTTTAAAAGTGAAAAATCTGTTGTATCATCATCAGTTAACGATTGAATATATTGCACTTGCGCCAATTGACGACCAACTGAATCAGCAAAACGAACCATCTTCTTTGTTGTTCCAATAGAACTTGTACGTTTTAGATTGCTATTAGATACAGATAAATTTGGTGTTGCTGAGGTTGGCGACGAAGGTGGTGTAGAAGGTGGTGGAGAAATAGTTGTTTCAGTAGGTACAAAAAAATTAACACTATTATCAATTGTGGACTCTTCAGATGTTGAAGATGGTTGATGATATATACGAGACCGTAATCCTAGGATAAATATTGTAGAAATATTAAATAAAAATTTTCTTCACTTACTTCGTGTTCGAAATCGACTAGGAGTAGTTTTATCACTTGACTCTCCATTTTCCACTGAAATATCTTCTTTTATCTCATTATTTTCATCTGATGAGATATTTTCTATTGAAATTCGTTGTAAATTTTCTGCAATATCATCTAATTCTTTTTCTTGATTATTATCAATTGGTTCAATTGAATCTATTTTTATAACTTCAGGTTCATCATTCGATGAAGACTGTCGTGTTAATGATGTACGTCGTTTTCGCCTGCGAAAATGACGTTCAGAATTTAACAAAGAGTTCACGCTTAATATACTATCTTCATTTGAGTCATCAGTCATTACTGATGCTGAAATATTGTCTAATGTGTCACTAAAATAGATAAAATAAAGATCTTGCTGTTTTTTTTTTGCTTTCGTTTAATTTCAATAATACAAACCAAATTTTATCTTCTATAATTATCGGCTCAATTTGATCACTATTGAGTCTATCTACTTCGTCTTCTTCTTCTTTTGGTTCATTTGACGATAGAAATGTATTCGATATAGGAAAAGGTATTGAATTAGTATCTAAAAATTTCTGTGATGATGAATGATACATAGATATTTGTGGTTCAGATGCAAATTTTTGAAGAAAATGTAATAAACTTGTTGAATCTTGTTTATAGAAAAATAATCCTTCGTCAACTGTATGATCCATTGATACTAGAGTTTCATTTTGTGTTGATGTCTTTTGATGTGCTTGTTGTTGAACAAGTAGATGTGCCATCGTAGAATTTTCTAATGATGGCAAATCAAAGTGAGAATCACAATTTTTTAAAGATGTAGAAGAATGAATTTTATCTTCCTGAAAAAGAAAAAAAAAAGAAAATATTATTTTGATAAAACTATTATTTTCTTACAAGGTCATTATGTTCTAGACAAATATCATTCATATTAAATGTTTCTTTTTTTTTTGTTTCTGTAGAAAATTGAAGGTCGAAAAAACCAATATGTTTCGTTTCATTCAGGTCCTTTACATAACGCTTGACCAATGCATATTAAAAAGACTTTTATCAGAGCTTTTGTTATTGTTGTCATTATTTTTTTTCTTGTGTGAAAAAAAAAAAAGAAATTGGTCGGATAAATGACTATATACATCGGTCAATAGTTCATTCTGTGAGTGTTTATCTAATCGCAGCTCCCTCCCGTTTTATATATTTGTTCGTCATCTATCATGTTGTGTACGTATGGTTAAAGAATGATAGATTATTAACAACAATTGCACGTTACTAACTAAGTTATGATAGATGATCGAAGGAGAAAAACAGAAAATTCTATGTTTGATGAAAATGAGAGACCATTAAGATGTATCTCTGTTTTTCTGTTCTGTCCTTCTACGTCTATACCATTCGACCTTGAAACTACCAGGCTCTATTCTTACCGAAAATATATCGGTCAAAACAAATCAATTACACTGTTGTTGGATAATTTGTGTTGCAGAACTATAGTATATGTGTGTTGGATAGCTATGTGTTTATGGATAAAGTAGAGATTATTGCTTTCATGTATATATATATATGTATGCGAAAAGGTGATGTAGTGTATAAAATAGAAGGCCGAGAAGCTGAGAGAAAAAAAAATCAGCGTATTTTCTAAAGGTTTGTTTATTTACTATTTCAAAATTACATTTGTCATCCGTGCAAAGAATGCAGTAGAAAAAGAGAAAAGAAATTGTCTTTACCTCACACACACACACACACACACACACACACACACTCTCTCTCTCTGGGTCTCACATGAAGATAAAAAAAGAGGAAAAGAAAATACGAGAATCATGTATGGGTCCATAATGCTTGAATTCTGGTTAATTTCGTCGATTGGAAAAAAACTAACGCAAGCGATTAATAATGAACAGTCATTTCAAAGGATTATCATTGGACATGATGAATATTACGAAATAAAACAAAAATAGAAGGAAAGCAAGTTTTTTTTTCAAATCGATAGATATATATCAGCTGTTTGGTTTAGTCGTCATTACGAAAAAAGAATTAGTAATTATACACATATATATCAAAAGTTTCTAGTTATAGTTTTAACTATATATATATATATGTATATCATGCGCTTGCTGCATGATCTGAAGCGTGGCCAATGCATTATCATGATCATACAAATAATAAACATGAAAAAGAAAAGAAAACGTAATAAATCATTGCTTCTTATATATATAGAGAACTTGAAGTTCAAGGTAAACTACAGTAAGGGCACGCATTCAGCGTATGCTACACTGAAGAATAGTTCGATAATTTGTATATCTAGACATGATAATAGACCGATATGAATGGCCTTTATAATAAAAAAAAACCCAAAGGATATATGCTGAAAAAAAAAATCACAGCTTTACAAAGTATCAAGAGTCATTAACCAGACGATCATATACCTTATTCAAACAGGTGTCTTTTCTTTCTATGTCTATTTAAATGATAAATAATTTGTTTTTTATATCGTATAGAATAGAATAGATGGGTGTATCCTTAACGAGTGATGCTTAAGTAAATAAAACTTTGAATGTTATGAGAGTCACTTAAAAAGAAACTACTAGTTGAACAAACAAAACAGTGCGCTTTATTTCGTTTTATTATAAAGCTGCATTCGTACTATTAATTTCTGTTCTGCTTAATGTAGATGAAATATGATACTGCTTTTCCTTCATTTTTTCAATACGCCGAAAGTAATATACTGATTATATCTATTTACTCAATTGATACTTCGTGGTTGCTTATTTTTTTTTCTTCTATGTATTAAAATATACACACTTCATCTCAGATAAGTTTTCGATTTTAATACATCTGCACCTTATCGCTTAGAATATGTACACATATAATAGATCTACTTATCATGATGAAATATCTGTTAGATATTGCTTAACTTTAAAAGACATTTATCATTAATTAATAAAAGAAAACATAAAACAGACCATACATGATAGTATATATCAGTTAGAGACTCATTCTCGTACAGTTTTTACTTTTGTATCGACTAATATTTATTTGAGCTGATACCATAGATAGCAAAAAAAAAAAATAAGAAAAGAGAGGAAAGAAAAAACGTTCTTTTGTCTTGAGGCCACTGCGTATGAAATAAGCTCACATCTCTAAGTCGTTCTCATTATATGCTATATGGGTTACTGAGTACTATACAACAGAATTTTTTTTTTCTTTTCTTTTTTGTCACTTAATAGACATACTTAAACTATTCAATCTGTCACATGCAAAAAGAAAAAAACAAAAAAAAATTCACTTTAATTTGTACTGCGTTCTTCTTTTTTTTTAATTAACTGTTTGACATCGAATTGCTACTAATATTGATACAAAAATTCGTCTTTAAGATGTCCTTTAAATTCTTTCGATCTCTTATGCTTGTTAAAAATTCCATTTGCTCACTTCAACTATTTAATTTGATGGCGAGGTTACTATGGATGGTAATGGAGATGCTGATCGAACTAATGTTATTTGTTGTGTAAAACATGTTAATCGCGTTGCTATATTATACAGACTAACAAATACCAGAGTTAATGCAAAATAAATTTTTTTTTTAAATTTGACACCAATAGATACCAACACGATTCAAGTTCGATAATAATGACTACATTTCGAAAAGATGTATTTTTTTTCTTCTTTTATTTCAAAATCAAAAAAGCCTTATGATAACATACATCATCTTTTGCTATTGTTCGTTCACGTCCATTGTTTTCTTCTTCGTTTGTATGAATTTTAGTTGATGTTTGAATTGAATTAGAAGAAGTGTCAAGCTTATTTATCTTATGTTGAGAAGTAAATAATGACGGCCACGGCATTTATCACAATTATGATAATGTTTCTTTTTCTTTCTCTCGTTCTCTAATTTTAAAAGTATTATTCATCTATAGTAAAATGTGTTGAGTTGGCAAACATGAAAGATTTTTTTTTTCGCAATTTGTACTGGTTCACTCCACCGTATGATCTGTAACCAGATGAGTAGATGTAAAATAGACAACAGGAAAAAAGAAACACATTAAGAAAAAAAATGGCAGAAGAGAATACAATAAGGTTTTGTCTTTTTCTTCTATTTCTAAACCAACAACGTCATATCAAGCCTGTTATATTCCTATTATCTAGAAAGCAACGTGGAGATTTTTCTAGTATCCTTTTTTTTTTTATATTTCTGTGTAGATGATGGAACTGTCGACACATATAATCAAGCGATTGAAGAATAAAAAACACTCCAGAAATACATATTTGTAGGCGTTTCTTGCACGTATTAGCCTATATATCATAATGAAAATAATGATTATCAACGTCTGACATCTATATTCCTATAGATGTCACTTAAATATTTCTTTTTTTTTTTTTAAATATTTTTTTTTTCTATATATTATTTAAACAATTAATTTTAATTTTTTTTTTTCTTAATTCGAAACATTTTTATTTCTATTTAGGACATCAACTGATTTTTAATTGCTTAATAAATGTTTGTAACTTGTGATTTATGAAAAAAAGAAAATAAACAACAACGAGAAAAAAAGAAGACTTGCGTTCTTTTACTTTCCATCATATTTCGAAACTAATTATTTTTTTCTTCATAGATTTATTGCGTCAACTACCTATCTCTTCTTGACTTTTTATTCTTATATAATCGACACACACATACATATATAGAATTTATTTTTAACAAAACTCTTACTCAATCTATATTTCATTCGTATTCATTCAAACTGTCCACGAATCAGTTTCAAGCCGTTGGGCCGAATAGAGCTGGTATTGTCAGCTTGTCTGATGATGCTGCCGCTATCGTTTCTTCCAACGTTAGTGATTTACCTAAACCCTCAATAGCTAATAAATGGATACCACAAACATTATTACGTTCACATCAACAAGGAAATGGTAATATAATACGTACACAAGAAGAAAAAGATAATGATGTTTTTCGTCGATGCCGTGCTTTACTTAACAAATTGACACCGGAAAAATTCGATAAACTTGCCGATGATTTAGCAAATTCATCATTTGGAATTGATTCACCACATTTATTAAAAGGAGTTATTTTACTTATATTTGATAAAGCATTAGCCGAACCAAATTATTGTTCATTGTGTAAGTTAATCAAATGAAATTTTTTATTATTTTAAACATATCTATCACGTTCTGATCCAACGTTGGATACATACGTGCATATTAGAGAGTACGTGATTAACTTCTAATTGTAGGCATGTGATGATAATATTAGAGTAGTTACTCTACAAACTTACATTAAAGAGAAGAGCTTCTTCACATCGTTTTCAAATAAAATGTGAGCAATTTTTATAGGAATTTAATTAGTAACTTTATCAAACGAACTTAGCAGGTTCAAAGAGTTTCGTAGAAGTTTTGGGATACAAAAATTATTTGAAGTTCAATGATTTGATTGAATCACTAATTTGATATATTTTGCATTGAGGTGAAAACTGAATAGACAATCGATTATTAGAAAACGTAAATAAAGAGGTTAATATGGCATACTTTGTACTTTTCGTATAGAGAAATGCAGTAATAAATAGTAATAGATCAAAGTACAAAGCATATAAAACATATGATTTGACCTGGAAGAATATAAATAATACTTTCTAACTCTTAATATAAATATTTATTTAAACACTTTTTATGTAAAATATCGAAAGTTAATTTAAAGCTGAAATAATTATATTTGAACGAGCTAAAATAGGGCACACTCTTAAATATAAATATTTTATAGTTTCTCTTGTGTCAGGAAGAACGCAATCGTTGATTGGAAGAAAGCGTAATCTCTCCTAGTTTTCATCATACCGGATAAAACACTGTTTAGCAACATATTCTTTTCTCCATCTGTTCGTATTTTTATTCATTATTTTTGTTAAATAATTAAAAATAATTCATATCGTTTTTTTATTTGAATAAAT